CCAAGTTTATCTTTTTAAAATAAATTTAAATAATTTTCGTAATTTGAATGTTCTCTTTGGATCCCTTTTAAATTGTTAAATAATTACAAATAATTAAATATAGATTATCTTTTTAGAATAATCCTTGTCTTAAAAAAAACATTCTAACTGGTATAACAATAAAAAAAAACGAACATAAAAATATAAATTATTCCTGGCTAGTTACAAAAACGAAAAAAACTTGAATTAATGCACGCGGAACGTTTCAGTTCAACGAAGTTTCTTCGCTGTAAGGAACGTATTAATATTAAAATTAGTTTTCATTTAAACGAGGCTCTATTCTGACATGGAAATGCCGGCTTTGGACACTGAAAAATTGTGCCCGTCTCAGCGCCTCGGGGAATTTTCAATTGCAAAGCTCGCGGGACGTAGTTTTTAAGCTAATTCATATTTTAACTTTTATGAAAACAGATTTCTCGAATAAAAGAATTGTGCAAAACTTTGTAGCAAAATCATTACATTTGAGTATATTTTTCCGTGTGTTTTTGATAAAACAATGTGCTCTATGTTGCTCCAGTTTAGTTTTAAAGTTAATTTAATAAATAAAAAATGTATCGAACGGACATGAAGATAAAACCCGTACACTAAAAGTCAGGAACTCTGACTATTCATATCTCACGATCTAATAAATCAAATTTCTATTGCCATTATCAAACGAAAATCAAATACACGTAAACCAACAAAAACGGCGACCCCTAGTGAGTCAATAAGTCATTGTAATATTTTATTTTTATTGGCAACACTGAAAATAATAGAACATCAATACGTGTGGCTACATTACTGGCAACATTCATTGGTTACCAATGATTTGTTTTCGCCATAAATTACCTGGACTATTTTTATTGGCAGTTAGAATATCGCTGTAACAGCAAAATGTGTCAGCTAAAATTGCTATTGCAAAAAGATAGAGTATAGACCATTATACCTATTTATTTACGTTTTATGTTACAATATAAGAAATATTTATAAAGTCTTTAGGAAATGAATTATGTATTTCAGTAGAATGTAATTAAAATAAAATTAATAAATGTTCCGTACAAGACGGGTTATGGTCATCGAGAATTTTAAGTCTACCCTCATTAACCCTGTATACTAGGACCGCGAAATTTAAACCTGTAGGTCGCCACTGAATGTGGTGAACACATTATCTGTAAAAAAATAAATAAAATAAACGCTTTCATTGATTCCGTTTCTTACATTTTAATTTTAACTTTTTATCTTTTTTTTTCTATTTATATTGCTAATATGTATTTATTTATTAATATTTTTAAGTTCAGTTTTCAGTTAAAAAAACCGCCGTTAAATCCTCCTCTATTTGTTGCCATCCTTCTCTGTCTCTAGGTAATCTACTCCAGGTTTTTCCTACTAAGCTTGTTATATCATCGTCCCATCTCTTACGTATATATATTATCTGTGCCGAACACTAATAACACGCGATATTATTTAAATAAGGATTTGATTTACACCCTATTTTACCTGTAGGTAGATTTAAAAAATTTCACAGATAATAACGTACAGCAGGTATGGGTATAAAAAAGTCATAAATAATTTATGAGTTGATGACATCGCATGATATATTTGCTGTTCGCCTTGTGCCCGCTTGCCGATGTAATCTTTCATACGTGAATACTGTGTAAAGGGTGTTCAAACAATCTTCAATTTCGTAAGGTTGATTTTTTAAACGTAGAACTCTGTACAGTGACACTTGTAGATGTATATTGTACACCAAAACAGGTTTTGATAAAGGGAATAAATGAGAAGGGAAAGGATAGAACTAAGTCTTAGAAAAGTATATATATCTATGGTAAAATATTATTTCCCAGTGATTATAATTAGCCTCAACTTACCTAGACAAATATGTATTGTAAATAGACCTCCAAGCAGATGAAGATGGCATTTCTTATCGAAGGCGAAGTCATCTTGGGGCTATGCGCTAGAGAAGTGAGAATTCGGTAAACCGTAATTAGATCGCGATTGGTTCAAAAGTTTTTTTCGCTGTAAGTCAAGCTAATCTGAATCTTATTTTCAAAATTCAAAATCTAGGCTAGACGAAGATCGTTTTTGATATTTTCAAACCCGCACACTTTAAAGTTTTTGCAGTTATTATTTCCAACTAGATGTTGCCCGCCACACTTTAAAGTTTTTGCAGTTTTTATTACCAACTAGATGTTGCCCGCGACTTCGACAATACAATATTAAGATAAAAAAGTAACCTATAATACACCCGTCTATGTCAGCTACCCTTCAGTGAATGTACGGTCGAAAACAGCCCAGCCCTATCGGAGATTACAGACAGGCAAAAAAATTTAAAAACTATTTTCATTAGCAGCAACGCAAATATATCATAATACCGAAATCTGGAATTTTTCTTTTCATATTACAAACAGATACTCAATTTTATTACATGTATAGATTATTTACAAACATCCTGTATGGGGCTCAATTTTGCTGACAAAAAGACGGAATGTATGAAGCGGATCTGTCGCCTCGGGCGCCGCCTAATATGCTAATACGTACCCAAATAACTACGCAAATAGAATGTAAATGCACCTTCAATAATTCTTAATGTAAACTTGATTATACGTTAATTTTGAAAATATGGAAATAACACACATTTTTATTAACTGCCGTTTTTTTATTAAATCTGAAAAAATCTTCAATAACCTATAAATTAACTTGAATACAGATAACATAGTACGTAAATTCACTTTATTTAAAAATTATACATTTTTGTCTCTTATTTAACAGTACCTTAATTGTCTTGTTAACCTAAAACCTATAATGTAAAAAAAAATGTATGTATGTTAGTAATACCCGTCGCAAAGATTCATTCTATAAATTTAGAGAAAGAAAAGAAAAATTGATATACTGTACACCCTCAAAACGATCGCAATTCGGATAATAGTCTATGGATTGAAATAAGAACGTAAAGTATAATCCGACAGATTTCGATCGTTACTTTGTTTCTACCTCCGGGCGATTTAGACGTTTTATTTGAAGGCTTTATTGAAATATTATTACCTCCATTTAGCAATAAAAGGTAGATGAAAAAAGTTAAACCGCCAACAGATTTCTAACCTCTGTTTTGAAAGTGGTGATTAAAAAAAACATATTAAGTAATAATTTTTTATTTCTGCATACCCCAATATAGCCATGCAACTAACAAATAACAAAAATTGTCCTACTTAAATATACACTAAACATGGAAAATGTTAATTTCAGTACAAAATGTATGTAAAATCAGCATTAAATCAAGTACATAAGGTTGATTTTACAATATCAAACAACATTTTTTATAAATTGACAAATGTCACAGATAACGAACACAATATTTATAGTTTGTCTAAATAAGATAGATTAGTTTGATAAATGACGCATATGAAGTATCGAATTTAATTTGTATTAAGGCAAATGCCATACTTAATAGACAGGTATCGTAGTGACGAAACAAACACGCAGCGAAGAAATATGAACTATCGATATTCGGTTTAAATAATTATCGAACTCAACTAAAATTATTATTTTCTTATTAACTAATTTATAGGACAATTCTATTATTGATTATAGTGTAGAGAATTTAGCGATGACAGAAATAATAGCGAAATCCAATTCGATTACTTACGGCTGTAGTAGTAATAAACATTGAGAAAACAGTGTTTTTTTTTTTCAATACATAAGTTATAACTATGCATCTATCGATTCCAACTTCTATAAGAATAAAAATCGATAACAATTAGTCATGTATCTTCCTACTAAATTTGAAGTCAATTGTCAAACTAATCTAATTTATTTAGACACACTATAGAACAGATTATATAAATTCATACAACAATGGACCTTCAGTTTTAAAGAATTAAAAATATATGCTTAATAGTTAAAAAAATATTGAGGCCAGTATTTTCTCTTCCTAATTCAAATTAAAACTTAACCTAACCCTATTAAAAGTACAAAGTCCATTAATAATGCCATTATCGAGACATAAACTAATTTGCGTAGAGTAACAATATAAAAATTACATTTGCTAAATTGAAAAAGAAACATTAAAAATATCAAATTGTTTTTCGTATTACAAAAACCAAAATGTGTAATTAAAAAATTAAATTCGATAAATCAAAAATTATTCACATAATTTATTTTATCGAAAAAATATACCATACCATTTTCCGAAAAAAAAATTTAAAAAAGTGTAAAAAAAAAACAAAAGCACATGACCAATATCTATTGGCAAAAATAAAACTTCTATCGTAAAAAATTATATACAAATCTAATATTATAACCATTTCACTAAAATATAACGCCCCATGGCAACACTAAGCGTGTTGCCTTATGTATTACAGTAAGTACTAACAATAATATAAAACTACCCTACACATTTGAGAAGCTGAAAATCAGACTTAATTTACCCTAAAAAAGGGTTCTTTGTTATTTTAATAAATCTATATTAGTATCTACATGTTTAACTATTTTACCTAACTAGTACTTAACGCAAATATTACATACAAATAAGCTTACATTGGCCGCGAAATATTTTAAAGGACAGGACATTTTCTATACATTTTATAAAGAAAAAAAAACTTTTATAGATCTCGTTACAAAAAATCTAAATTTTTCTATGATAAATAATAATCATAGGAAGATTTCAGATGTGCATTTTAAATATTTTTTTCTTTCTATGGGTTTCTAATGCTCTTTTCTGCGTTGCTTCACAGCCGAAACTATAATCATATAGTCATCTCTCTCTTATACTACAAAAATGAAAGAGACATCAATATATTTCATGTGTAGGAATTATATCCGCGTACTGTCTAATAAATATTCGATAGGGAGGCTTCGTTTTAATCCACTTTAGTCCACCTTTTAATAGAAGGGAAAGATTTTTTTAATTTCTATAGTAACCACTAGTTGTTGCTCGCGACTTCGTCCGCGACAAATAAAGAACGTTACTGATAATATAGCTTTTTAATTGTGTAAGAATTTTTAAAATCGGCAAAATAATTTTGGAGTTATTTCAATACATAAAAATACAAATATTTCCTATATTTTGCTAGGTTATATTGCATTAAACAAAATATGTGAACAATAGAATTGGCAGAGGAGGGGACATAAGTATGGGATAACTCCTTTTTTTGTATACTTCAGGTTTTTAAAATTATGTAAGGTTATATATGGGTTTATGTCACTTCGTTATTTTGGAGTTTTATAGTTTCAATTGCCACTTTAAAAAAATGTATATTTTAGTAGAAATATTTCAAAACAATAAATTCGTATATCCTTTACTAGTAATCAAGTTAATTGTAGCACTGATCACTCTGAGTACGAGTTAAAATCCTAATTATAATCCAACTCAGCATTATCAACTGGAGGCCGAGGATTATTTACAACCGATTCTGGATTAACTACATGCACCGGCGCTGGATTCATTATCCTATTTGACATTCTAGTAATATCTAAAATAGGCAATCGAACCACATAATCTTGATCCCAAGTCCTATCTTGTAATCTAGACCTTTCAGACCATGGTATCACTCGAAAATCTGTATTTATAGCATTAAGCCTAGGTATTCTTTGAGCTAGATTCCTTAATCTTGAATTTTCCTGCCGTTCCTGTCTCTCGGGTACAAAATTCTGTACATCAGATCTTCTTTCCGTTCTATTTGTTGCGAACATATGTTGATATCTTGATATTTCACATGGTAATAAAGGTCTTGCATCTCTGCCGACCCTCTGAACGGTGATTTGACGTTGATTTGGTGATGTGATTGATGATGAGTCTGTCGGTTGTATGAGGATGCCGTTCTGACGGTTTGATGATGGGAAGTTGAGTGCAAAGAAATCGGGCAATGGTACGCAAAATACACCCAATTCCTCCTGAAATGGATACATTTTTTAATCAACAAGAGATTTAAAAAAGTTTAAAACATTCATGTTTTTTTATTTTTAAACATTATCATTTCATGATGTCATGTTTTATTAACGCTACAAAGAAATTCATTTAAAAATCATGTAAATATGTTAATAAACCAATTATAAATAAATAAATCTTCATCCGCATTGAATTTATAAAAACCTTAGGGCCTGTCCTGCTAAATTGTAAATTGTCTGATAACAATCCAACATGTAAAATTGTAATGGAAATATTGGATTTTGTTCCCTTATCTGACAATAACGTAATTTTTAAGCTATCTGAATCTCTATCAGCTAGTAGTGGGACAGACTCTTATTCTAATTACTACATAGAAAAATCCAAACATACAAAATTTTCCTCTTTAAAATATTGGTATAGAAGATATGTTAAAAATCAAGAATATTCTGGAAATAATTTTAAATGTACAAACAATTCTATGTTATCTTACTAATACTATAAATGCAAAACTGACCAGATCTTGATGAAATTTGTCATAGATGTAGAGAAAATAGACATACTTTTTTTTAATTCCTTACATAGACTCGCGAGTCAAAGCTAGTAGAATAAAATACAAATATCAAACTTACGTTATTATTAGCTCGTTCAGAACTTTCCGGAATGTTAATAAAAGGTTTCTTATCAACTGTACTATTTGCTACCGGCTTTTCCTCTTTCTCCTCCTCCAATGGCACGTCAGGTACCACCTGAAGATCCTCAGGAGGGTTCGGGACTATCACGTAGCTTGCTATTATACTTGACAGTTGATCTAAAACCTAGAAAGTAAACAATATAAAATAAATAGATTACAAGTAAAATCTTAAATTATCTAATCCCATACATTTTATCCGCATATTTTAAAAATTGTTTTTATCTGAAAATTTCAAAATTAACATGCACAAATAACAATAAAGGCCTGTCGTTGGTTAACAATTGTTACCATGACAACCATTTTATGTTTTCAGCTTGTAATTTTTGCCTTTTCCCGCATGACGGTTTTTTTTAAAGTTTAATAGCGTGAAAATATATAGCCTAAACCGTGTCGTACCTGTAGGGCTTTTTATTAAAAAAATGTTAATTCAAAAATATATTGTGATAGCTGACATCTTACATAACAGTGTGTGTTTTCATTTTATTATTTTACTATAGATAAGCTGTTGCTCGCGACTTCGTCTGCGTAAAATGTAAAAATAAAACCTATGTTACTGATAATGTAGCTTTTTAATGGTGTAAGAAATTTTGAGCTCATCCCAGTATTTTTGAGTTACTTAAATATATACAAAAATACAAATCTTTCCTCTATATTAGTTTAGATAACTTACATCATCTGCCAGTAACCTGTGTTTTGGATCCTTCACCAGTAGCCTTTGAATCAAGAATACCGTATTATCTGAAACTTGAACTGAGTTACCGTCCCTGGAATTAGAGAAATACAATCTTTGAATTACTATAAGTTGTGCTAATTTCTACAATTAGATGAATAAATTTGGTTACAAATAAGAACAAATAAAAATACTCAGTTTTTTTTAAGTATAAAATATACGACAGTTTGGATGGATGGTCACGACTAAACAGATTTCAATTAAATTTGTCAAAGAATACATAGACTATTTACATTTTTTCCTATACAAGCCAGGATTTTTATAATTTTGTGTAAGCAATAATCATAAGTGCGATTTTTAAGATGGAAGTATGGATGTTTGTAGCCTTAACGGCTGACCGGATTTTAATGAAATTTGGCATAGGTGTAGAGGATAGTCTTAAAGTCTTTTCATGCTATGCAATCGGAGTCTCGGTCGGAAGCCAATTAAAAATATACCTTAATGTTACATCTACCACAAAAAATGTACTAACAAGGGAAATATATCCTATAATTTATTTTTAAACTAACTGTTGCCTGCGGCTTTGCCCGCGTGAAATAAATACAATTGTAAAAATATAACTCTATAATAGTGGAAATCGGTTTAGAGTTATAATACATTAGCTTTTGGCCGCGACTCCGTCCGCGTGGAATTAAAAAAAGACAAAGTAAGTAACCTATGTGTTCTTCCAGACTATGCTCTACATCTATGCCAAATTTCATCCAGATCTATTCAGCCGTTTAGGCTACAAACTCTAACAAACATCCATCCATCCATCTAAACTTTCGCATTTATAATATTAGTATGAAGTATAATGGAAAAATTCATAAAATACAAATCTTTCTTATCTACAATATTAGTATAGATAAACTTACGGCGGTATATTATAATTAGCAGCCTGTATCCTACTGAAGAGCTGCGTAAGACTTGTATCACAGAAGGGGAACTGTCCATACAACATAGTGTATAATACCACACCTAATGCCCACATGTCTGACGGCTTTCCGTGGTACGGCTTGCACATTAACACATCCGGAGATATATACGCTGGTGATCCTAAAAGATTAATAAATATGGACTTTGGGTTCATAGTATCAATGTCGAAATCCGCGGTATTACTTAAAAAATTGCCTTGTTTATTGCAACGCGACCTCCACCTTACATATAACTATTTTTTTTTATAATATAAGGTGGCAAACGAGCAAGCGGGCTACTTGAATCCACCGAAATGGAAAACGACCGCTGCCCATAAACATCCGCAATTGCAGATGCGTTGCCTACCCTTAATTTACGGAGCAGAAGACGCACATAAAGAGGACATTTCCCCTTCCTATGCGTCTCCTCTACCGTCAAATCCACTTTTCCTTCCCATCCTTTCGTCTTAAGAAAAGGGTGGAAAGGGAAAGGGACCAAAAATAGGCCTCCGGCACCACACTCATCAGACGAAAACTAGTTGTTCCCGTGCGACTTCATCCGCATATCATAAAATTATGAAAATTTTATTATATTGTTTACATGTGTCGAATTATTGACATGACATGATGAAAAACCATGGCAACCTTGCTTCCTTGATGTTGGCAGCAACTTATGGTCTCTTTCCCACATTAAGGTTTTTATCCAAAATATTTACCCCCTAAGTTAAATGGCGTGAAAATATATAGCCTAAAGCGTGACGTAAGTGTAGAGCTTTTAATTAAAAAAATAATTATTAAAAAATATGCTGTAATTGCTGACATCTTAGGCAACAAAGAAGTGTGTGTTTACGCTTTATTATAATAGTATAGATATAGATAGGTAGTAGTGAGTGGGCAAACAAAGGGATAATAAAAAAAAGTAGCAAATTATTACCAAGTTTTTTGCACAGACACATTTATAAGTATAGTATTGGTTTTTGTTCCGCGTCTTGTTTCATAATGTACTAACAGTTGCAGCTTTTAAGGAACACCACCAGTTTCTCCGATAGTACATTAATAAAATGTAACTAACATTTTAGAGTTTTAAGTGTTCAATTACAAGCCTTAAATCTTGAATTCTCTAGACTTGTATTGATATAATAAATGATGTATTTAAATAGTAAATTATCTCCTTACCTCTTTGATCCTTCAACAAATCTCTATCGCTGCCCAAATGAGTGCCCAAGCAGAAATTTGTTATAGTTATTCTGCCAGTTCTTTGGTTCAACACTATATTGCCTAACTTCAAGTCTCTATGTACTATGTTTCTCTGAAACAGATTATGTATTGCATTGTATTACATTTTCACTGATAAACCACAATCAGACGAAACACGGAATTACTCCCACTTCATGCCATTCTTCTGTATGGTCATGGTATTATTAAAGAAGGCTGTACCATTGTTAATTAGAGATGATTTAAGCCAAATCATTTTGAAAATGGATGGATTTTTCTTACATACTTCAGAATGACTCAATGAATCTTGCTGAAAGTTACTGTATTCAGGAAGAACCAGGGATTATGAATTTTTTTTCTATTCTGCACAGACAATGTTATTGGCGACAAGTTTAAGTAAAAAATAAAACTTCTACATCAAATTCTTACCTTATGTAAATTGGCAACCACCCTAACAATATCATAGAATATAAGTACAGCTTCTTTTTCCGGAACTTTCTTGACTTTTGTGACATACTGCTGCAGGTTTATCAATTCGCTGCCTTTCTCACTAAACTGATGTGATGTAACACAGTCCAATACCAGGAATAATCTTTGGCGGACTCTACCAGTGTATAAAAAACCCGGGCCATTCGGATTGGGGATTTCCTCAAGTGCATGATCCTAAAAAAATCAATTGAGGTATTTCCCATTAGGTGAATCAACTCTCTAGAATTTTAATTCCCATAGGATCAATTAATTGTATTATTTAGTTGGTCGAACAAGAAAAATAAGACCTATTGGGCCATTGGAGTATTAAACACAACTACAAGTTATCTGTCCTGTAGAACCATAGAATTTACTGCAATAAAAGCATTTAGATTGGGATTATTGCCTATAAAAGACATGTCAATCCCATAGTGCTTCTTCTGGATTTATAAAACTAGCTGGAGAAAGACACTATGGGGTTGACATATACAAATAAAGTTACCTTAAAGAGACCATTATGATGAACCACACCATCTTGGTCTTTTAACAATGATAATAGTGAATATTCTGTGTGCAGCAACATCTTTCCTTGTCTATCATCTTGTGTTTCAGGTTGTCCTTCATTTCGAATTGTTAAAATTTTAATCTGATAATAATCATCAGTTTTTTCTTTCCTTGCAAGACATTGAACTATACTCTTAACTGGACTAGGCCCTAGTTTAGGCCCTAATAAGTAAGGACCAGCCTTACGGACATATTTATCAGGTACGGGAGTGCCAGGGGGTGGAACATCGTTTTTATTAATTAAAGGTTTCGTCTTTTTAATCGAATGTGGTCCCAATTTTTTTGAATTCTTAAGCACTGAACTAGATGAACTCCCGTAGGCTGATAGCCTTGCAATCTTAGGACTCGGTTGAAGTAGCAAAGGTCGACTACGTTTTCCGTGATTTACTGTGCTTTCTGGCCTTTCTTGATCCATGTCGTGACACTTTTCGAACGGTTAGTTCTGTTTTAAATTGAGATAAATAGTCAGATTTTCTAAGCACACTCTTATTTATCAGCACACGTAATCTATTTACGTATGTAAATATCGTAAGAGGGTTACCTAAGTATTTAGCACTTTTATTTACTGAATTAAATAAATTAAACTTCAATTTTGTTGTACTGACACAGATATAAAACAAAAAACATATGATTGTTATTTTGAAATGCGGCAACACTTTCGAAATAGAATCGAATGAAACAGAAATTGATTAAAAAGTTCTTTTTTCTTTTAATTCACTGTATTTATGTTGTGCGATTACGTTATCAATGTGTATTTGTAATTTGGCGCAGTACTATTTGGTTTATTCAAAAAGTGATGTAACATCTCATTATTATTTTCCAATTTTGTGCAACACTTTTTTAATATTAGCAAATTTGACAGATTTCTAACCATGTTTTTGTCGTGACCATCGTTTCTTTTTTTCCGTGCACTGGGCGATATAATATTGTGAAATAACAAAAAAAATAAAATAATTGTAAATATAACAGAGATCAGCATGTGGAAAGGCTTAAGATTAACACAGTCACAATTAACTAAGATACATTTCAATGGCCACAAATTGCAGCCAATCGGTGTCCCGGCCCTCGATTCAGTATTAAATCAGTGGTATGAATTTTGTAAAAAGCCACCGAAAGGTTTTGAAAAATATTTTCAGCCCGGTGCAAGCCAAAAACAGACAAAAAAAAGTGAAAAAGATGACTCCCCTGCACCATCAAAAACTACACCACCCCCGTCAAAACCTTCATCATCACAAGATAAATGGAACATAAATATGTTCTCCAGTAGTTCAGGAAGTGGTAGAGGAGGAGGTAGAGGCGGCTACGACAATCAGGACCGAGAAAAATGGATGATGTTTGGAGCAATGGGTGTCGTAACATTATTGGCATCGATCGCTTACTTCGAGCTCAGGTACCGAGAGATAAGCTGGAGAGACTTCGTCAACATGTATTTAAACAAAGGAGTCGTCGAGAAACTGGAAGTTATAAATAAAAAGTGGGTTAGAGTAAAATTACAACCAGGTGCATCACTAGAAGGTAAAGTCATATGGTTTGCAATAGGCAGTGTTGATTCATTTGAAAGAAACTTGGAGAACGCACAAATAGAATTGAATGTAGACCCACCACACTTTGTTCCTGTAATTTATAAAACTGAAGTGGAAGCTGCAAGTTTGACTGGAATGTTGCCAACACTGTTAATAATTGGTTTCTTAATTTATATGATGAGAAGATCAGCTAACATGATGGGGGGAGCTGGTCGTAAAGGTGGAGGTTTATTTGGTGGTGTTATGGAGTCAACAGCTAAATTGATAAACCCAACAGATATCGGTGTAAAATTCAGAGATGTTGCTGGTTGTGAAGAAGCTAAAATTGAGATTATGGAATTTGTTAATTTCTTGAAAAATCCTCAGCAATACATTGATTTAGGAGCTAAAATTCCTAAAGGTGCGCTGCTTACTGGTCCACCTGGTACTGGAAAGACCTTACTTGCTAAAGCAACAGCTGGAGAAGCTAATGTTCCCTTCATAACGGTGTCTGGTTCTGAATTTCTGGAAATGTTTGTCGGTGTAGGTCCTTCTAGAGTCCGTGATATGTTTTCTATGGCACGAAAACATGCACCTTGCATTCTCTTTATTGATGAAATTGATGCAGTCGGTAGAAAGAGAGGTGGACGTAATTTCGGTGGACATTCTGAACAGGAGAATACTCTCAATCAGCTCCTTGTCGAAATGGATGGGTTTAATACAACTACAAATGTAGTTGTACTTGCTGCGACGAATAGGGTGGACATTCTTGACAAAGCGTTACTCCGACCTGGTAGATTTGATAGACAAATCTTTGTTCCTGCACCGGATATTAAAGGCAGAGCTTCCATTTTCAAAGTACATTTAGGCCCTTTGAAGACCACACTGAATAAAGACAACTTGGCACGCAAAATGGCTGCATTAACTCCAGGTATAGCATTTTTAAACAAACATTTTGATATAGTAATCTTGAGAATTTTTATTAGAATATGGATATAAAGATATAAATAGACTAAGTTTCTGTATTTAATTTTCAAACTAACTTTGTTTAACAATTTTTGGGTTTTAAAATAAACATCTAGGTTTGGGCATGTCCCCAATAAGACAACAGTGTATCTAAATCCACTTGTCACATAAAAAACGATACATAGCATATAAGTAGTTTATTACTTGTTAAAAATTTGTACACAGTATTAGGCTAAATAGGCTAAAGTTAGTTAATTAAGAAATATTAATAAAAAACATAGAAAAATATGAGTTAAAAAAGTGAAAATTCTAGTACTTTAGATTCAATTTTATTTGCTTTTTTCTCCACTAAGGTATTGGCTTATATCAATTTAAATAAAATTTAATAACTAAAAGTATACAAATAGTACTTTAGTGACATTAATAATGTGTATTTATGTATCTTATGACTTTGATAATTTTAAAACATTACTAGTTGATTTTAATTAACTATAATTTTTTCAGGCTTTACAGGTGCGGACATTGCTAATGTATGTAATGAGGCAGCATTAATTGCTGCTAGAGAACTCGCTCATGATATCAATATGAAGAACTTTGAGCAAGCTATAGAGCGTGTTGTTGCTGGTATGGAGAAAAAATCCAACGTCTTACAACCTGATGAGAGAAGGATCGTAGCGTATCATGAAGCTGGACATGCGGTTGCAGGTTGGTTCCTGCAACATGCGGATCCATTGCTCAAAGTATCCATTATCCCTAGAGGCAAAGGATTGGGTTATGCGCAATATTTACCCAAAGAACAATATTTGTACAGCAAGGAACAACTTTTTGACCGAATGTGTATGACTCTTGGAGGACGAGTGAGTGAGGAAATATTCTTTGGAAGAATAACAACCGGTGCTCAAGATGATTTAAAGAAAATAACCCAAAGCGCTTACGCCCAAATAGTTCATTATGGTATGAATGCGAAAGTCGGAAATGTATCCTTTGAAATGCCACAACCTGGAGAAATGGTTATAGATAAACCATACTCAGAGAAAACTGCTGAACTAATTGATACAGAGGTAAGAGAGCTAATAAATTCAGCACACAGACATACAACAGAATTACTGACTAAGCACAAAGATAATATTACCAAAGTCGCAGAGAGATTACTTAAGCAGGAGATATTAAGTAGAGATGACATGATAGAGTTGTTGGGGCCTAGACCTTTCCCCGAGAAGAGTACATATGAGGAGTTTGTAGAAGGGACTGGATCTCTGGAAGAAGATACAACACTTCCCGAAGGACTCAAGGACTGGAACAAGGAAAAGCCAACAGACAGCGTGCCTTCCGCCAGTAAAAACTAAGCAATCGTATTATGTAGAATCTTTTTAGTCAGTTTTATGTGAAATAAACGTAACATATAAGACATAAAAGACTTTTGTTTTGAATTAGATATTTTGAATATAACAAAATCGAACATTGAAAACATGCTGTAAAATTTCTATTTATTATTAGTTGAAAACTAATTGTGATTATGTCGATTTTAATTTGGGTATTTTTGAAAAGGTTTTTAATTATTTTATCTTTATAAGTATTGAAGTATAATGCTATCCAAAGTTTATGGAGGCTTTATTCCTGGCGCTGCGCATACGCATATCAGTTCTCGCGACTTCGAGCCTCTACAAAATTGGAATTGTATAATACCATGTAAAACTTTTTCATTTATTTTCACTGTTCGATTTTATGTACATGGTTGGGTATTTATAACATGGATAATAAAAGCACTGTTTTCAGCTTTGCTATGTTGTGTGCATTTTGGCTAAATGTATTTATTAGTTGTTTTCATGACGTAAATAATTTAATACTGTAGTTGGATTATTTTGTTAAATAAATAAATGATGATTTTAAATCTAAAAACCCTGTTTTAACAAACTACATGATTTACAAAACATTTAAGTACGGTTTAGTTGAGATACATGGACTTGTTACTGAAACTAAAAAAATAGTAAGTATAACATATATTTATGTAACTATTTTTAAATCGGATTACAGAAAGGACCCTAAGTAAAAAGATTATTAGATGAATCTTCTGAAAGCTGAGGTCCTAGCACGAAAATTTGAGAGAAAGTATTCGAAACATTTTATATATTTTTTGGTGTGTACTTTATGCTCGAGAATACCGATGACGCGTCATGTCATGACGTTGCGATTACTTATTCGAAAATTTTCGTGCTAGGTTCCCAGTTGGTTTCAACAGCTAAGAACACAGTACTGAGAGAAATCATTTTTATGTTATTCTAGATTACAAAAAGATGGCGTTGATTTGGTAAATGGATCGATTTTATTCTAACTGCCATACTCAAAGACGTTTAATTAACGGTAGGGCCTCTAACTGTAAGTTAATAAATTAGTTTGAATATAATGAAACAATAATACAAATTAGTTATTGAAAAGGTTGCGGAGTTCAGGTGATTTAAATAAAAATAATAAGGTTATATCAATCTACTGTCATTAGTATTGGAATAAAAGTCCTCGGTACTTTGTTCACATTTGGTACAAAGCAAGGACGAAAAGATATACATAGTTGTAGTAAATGAATAATTATATTATACTCAAATATAATTTCGTTCAACAAACAACTTATTTTGCGTCAGTCGTCGCAAAACCGGATTATAGTATACAGTGCACCTCATAAACAAAAACATGAATCACATAATTACGTATCTGGAAGTTTCTTATAAGTCTCAACACTTGTTTTAATTTGGAAGAGGCGTCGCCTGCCAGCCCTATATACTACGTCGCATAAAACCATAGTAATGGTAGCTCCCCTCTCCTTGCTGCTAACGACGCCCTTGGTCGACACAAGACCGAATAGCACCAAAATCTAGCTTTAAATAATTAAAAATGATAATAGTTATTCGACTCCTGATTCAAAAATAATTGTCAAATTTGCGAACAGTAAAATGCAATTCATGTATATTATGTCATACATTTTTTATATTATAAACTTAATGAAGATAATAAACATTGTACATAGTTCTCATTCGAACTTTATCTTTTATGTACAGTTTTCTAATTGGAACAAACAGCCGGTGTTAGCAGTTTTGTTGGATTACCTAACCATAAGTAGAAACACTATCCATTGTCACTCATAAAATTAGACATTCCTTCCCTTTTTCTATTGTAGATCCTCATGCACTTGTAGTGAACACTTGTTCTGTGATCAAACGTCAAAATAGCAATTGTAAATAACCGCTAAGGCATTGAAAGTTTAATTCAAAGGAAGGTCAAAGGCGAACGCGTTCTCTTTTTCTCGTCTCACAAAAGTAAACGTTATTATTCGAATTTTTTTACATAACAAAACACTAGTAAAGGTTGCTGGGGTGCTTTGGCGAGCTGGGTTGGCTGGAATAACCTCACGGTAATGCTGAACTTCTCCAGAAATGTAAACGACCATTACAGAAGTTTCGACTTTCAACTGTTTGTGTATTGTATTCAAGAAGGATAATGAATTGATTAGAAACAACGAGAAAATGTGAAATTGCTTCCACTTGACGACTGCCTTCTGTGTGGTGGTATTCCACCGGTCAAATATGATAAAGCGGTCTCTACTACAGTTAGCGAAATAGTACAATGTTTGTACATAATCGGTTCAAGTAATAACCAATTTAATTTATTTCGATCGGGAACAGTTTAATAAAAAAGTGTTATAATACTTTACAAATTAATTAGGTCTCAAATAGAAACTGTCAATAGCTCATATCAAATCTTATCACAGGACCGTTTATCAATATAGATACATTTTTCAATGCTAGTGTCGTTACTTTGGCGCCATTTAAAACAGCATTCGGGTAAGCAAATGTCATCAAGTGCTTGAAAACGGCACAAGTTATTTTTTTTTTAAGTATAGATTTCTATCCGACAATTTTTTGTCCTAAGAAAGGGACATCAAGAGTATTTTCAATACAGATAAGAATAGAGAACAAGGAATGGGTCGTTTAAAACGTAATGTTAAAAAACGCTAGTTTGGATGGATGTTTGTTCCGGATGAAATTTTGTATGAATGTAGAGCATAGCCTGGAAGAACGCATAGGCTACTATGTTTTCACCGCGCGACGGAGTCGTGGGCAACAGTATATTAAACAAGATTTTTTTAAAAGTAAGTACCTCTGGGTTAGTCCAATAAAACCATTGGAGGGGTTATAAAAAAGTTTATTTTAGTAAATTGCGGCCCATTCGTGAACTGTTATACATAATCTATACTATAAAAGATATTGTGAAGTAATAAGTAATTAAAATCGTCACAATTGCTTTTCCTTGTGGAGAAACGAAATGAAAATTATTGCTTATTTCTCTTAAGACTAGCTTGATCGTGGCGCCATCTAGCTAGTTAATATTAAGAAAGTGGAAGAAACAGGTAAAGTTTAAACGAAAGTTTTTTTTCGAACGAAAGATTTGGAAAGCGAAACAAAGTCCTCAGTTTCCTTGCAACGGATAAGGAAAAATGAACACAATAAGGTGTATAAAATAACTCACTACAATTTCGAGTACCAATATATTTAATTGGCCGCTGGCTGAAATCAAAAAAATTACATTTGCCTGCCATCTCCACTTTAACATAACGCGAGTATAGCGCGGCAACACTGTACCGCGCGCGTTCCTGCTCACCTCTGCCCACACTGAGGAACAACTTTAACAAATAAAAACAGGGTTATATTAAAATTATAATATGAAAATATTCAAATATTGGTTGAACATACATCCAACCTACTTTCTGTTTATTTAAATATTCACTACATTACTTTATACATCACCAATATCTTAAGTAAATTCAGTTTTTTGTACAATATAAAAAGAATCTTACATTACTTCTATGTTTACACGAAAGAAATGTAACGCCCGCCATCTAATTAAACTTGATCTAACCGAGCGAACGGCAAATTAGACAAAAATTTAACAAAAAAAAATATTAAAATTATGGTAATTATTACAAGTAACTAACACTATTATTTCATGTTCAACATTTCATGTCAATTATTTTATTATTACCTATGCTTAACATTACCCTACGATAAATCATTATAAACGATGAAAATGTATCTCCTTGATATCATTCAACAATTATCCATTAACAATTTGCAATCCGTTACGCGCAGATCGAACGTAAGTTAAAACTAATCTCAGTAACAACAAAGGTCCACATCAGTGACAGTCTCTCAGTTTTTCTGCCTTGGGCTTGCGGCCGCGCTTCCTGCCCGCGGTGACGCCGGCCAGCACCATCGCAGCGCGCTTGGCGACGCACGACTTGCAGAACCAGTCCTCGGTGGCGCCCGGCTCCTCCGTGATGCCCACGCACTCCCAATGGTACCAGCCGTCACACCCGTCGCACCCGATCATCGGAGAGCCGTTGTCCTGCCGGCCGCACGCGGGACACACCCAGATCTTGTTCCCCTGCTCGTCCACGTAGTACGGCGTCGGCAGCGGCCCGCTCGGCTTCGGCGCGGCCGCTGGCGATTTCTCCGGTATCGACTCGCTTTCCTCGAAGCTTTCCATATGCCCCTTTTTGGCTTGCGATTTAAATAATATCCGTTTGTATTTCGAATGACTTGATGGTGGCCTGTTCTTTCTAGGTGGAGAGTTCCCGGACGGAGGGGACGAGGGTTGCCCCTCGACTTCGGAGACGTGATTATGCTTCGAGTGCTTTTGCTTTGGCGGCCTCGTTACCAGAGCGGATATCTGTGCTAGCTCCGGCGACCGGCTGTGCTCGCGAGACCGCGGTTCCTCTTTCGGTGGCGGACTATCTTCCTCCTCTTTTTTTACAACCGGCTTAATATTGAGCTTGAAGATATCCGGCGAACTCGGCGGCATCGGTGAGTTTGAATTCGAGGAGGCCAGTTTTAGTGTTAGCTTGGGAACTAATCCATCGGCAGTCTTTTCCTTTTTCTTCTCTTTCTTTTCTTTTTTTATCCTGTCTTTCTCTTCCTGCTTTTCATCCTTGTCTCTCTTTTTCTCAGATTTATCTTTGTTTTTGTCCTTCTTATCTTTTTTCTTTTTTAATTTGATACCATCTTTATCTTTCCTTTCTTTTTTATGGGCTTTGTCTTTCTTTTTGTCTGCAGATTCGCTGTCTCCGACGTGACTAACTTCAGGTGATGGCAACCTGACCAGTTGGGGCGGAGGCTCGGGCTCTAGCTGGGCGACAACCGGTGGAGGCTCCGGCGTGGGTAGTCGGACCGGTGTAGGTGGCTCCTTCGGGAGTTCCCGTCTTACAGGATCAACTTTAGGAGGGTTCAGTTCTATAGTTATATCCGGCTGTACAGGTGGCATTTTATACAACGATTTATGTTCCTTGTGTGACTTTGATTTTGGTTTTTGTAAAATATTTGGAATGGTTGGAGATTTGTGCTTGTTATCGTGTCTATCTTTATCTCTGTGCATAACTGGAGATTTATGCATACCCCGATCTTCTTCGTTATCGACGGGAATCACTTCTAAGCTTGGGCGCCGTAACATCGGCGGTATTTTCATCGACTGTGACCTCGACGTGTGTGGGAAATTTCCCATGGGCATTAAACTATTTGGTAAACCAGGGCCTAGACCGCCAGGAAGAAAACTGGGACCTGGAATTAGCCCTGGGCCACTTGCTAAAGCAAAGGGATTCGTTAGCAAATTTGGAGATGGTAATCCTCTCAATGCTGGATTATTTGCAAGCCCTGCCAGGAAATCACTACCTGGTATTAGTCCAGGATTTGGTATTAGGCCTGGTCCAGGTATCAAGCCCCTGCCTGGAGGCATTGAAGAGAAAAATGGAAATCCTGGTGGCATTTGCGGTAATTTCGCATCATTCTTTGGCCTACTTGATTTAACTTTTGCATTTCCAAGTTTCATTTTCTTCTTTTCCGCTTGCGCCATTTCCATTGCCAGTTGTTGTTGTTGCTTTTTGAGTAACTTTGCTTCTAATTTAGCAGCTTTGTCCTTTTTGTCCTTATGTTTCTTTTCTTTTTTAATTTTAGGACTGACACTAGCTACATCTTTGGAATATGGAAGTTGCAACGACTTGTTGATTGATATACTTGGTCTAGGTTCTGGATGTACAATTTTATCCTGTGGCATATCCTGGGAGTCATCATCAATACTAATTACTTCATGAGCCCTCATGTCAATTTCTTTTGACAAGTCTAAAGCACTAAAGTTATTGTTCACAACAGAATCATTGTTCACATGAACCTTTTCACTAGTGTTATTAGAATTTTGTAACCTTGAGATCATCAAATCAGAATTTTGCTGCGGTGCTGTAACTTCCAGTGGAACCTTATCTTCTTTATTTTTGTTCGTTATTCTTTTAAATATATTAAGTTTTGATCTATCAGGTTGGGATGCTAATTTTTCCTCTACAATTATTTCCTTTTTTATCTCTGTCTCAGGTATTAATGAATTTGAAGATTGATTTTTATGTACAGGTAAGGCATTAGATATCAATGGAGACTTGGAAATTGGTATTTTTCTTGGTACAGGGATAGCATCCTCACTAGAAGTCATTGGTTTTGTAATGGGTGGGGGTAGTGTGTCGGGTGGTTCTTGTTTGATAACAGGCCTGATTATCTCAGGGACTGGAAGATTGGAGACTGGAGCTGGTGTTAAAGTCTGTGGTAAAGGCAATGAAGGTTTTGGAGGTCCTGGTGCTTTCGGCGCTGGCATTGTCACATGATTATGATGTGTAGGATGGACATCTTTACTCTTCATTGGATGTCCAGGAGGAAACCTGTCCAATTTATTGCTATCCTTGGATTTACTACTTTCACCTTTATGACTTTTATCTTTTCTTTTACTCTTCATGATCTTACCATTTAACAATTTATTCTTTTTAGACTTTTTATCACTTTTATCTAAAATTGGTGCTTTCATGGGATTTGAATGATGTGAATTAACTTTATGCTTGTCATGATGTTTTTCAGAAACTATTGTAGGAGGTCTAGCTTCAGGTAATTTCCCTTCGCGGGCTGGGGATAAAAAACCAGACATAGTCATAATTACACTGCTGATTTCTCTAGTTCTTTCTTCTTCTTCCAGCCTTAGCCTGGGCCTTTTACTATTTGGTAATGATACAGGGTCAATTGGACGTTTAAATATGTCTTTTGTTTTTTCAGGACTATCTGTGACTGATATTTCAGGACTTGTACATGAAGTGTTGCTATCCATGTTATCAATACCATTTTGCCTAATTTCCACAGTGCCTGCAACAACTGGTGTATCCCTTTCTTTTTCAGGGTACATGGGAGGAAGATGTTCATGAACATGCATCGGTCTTGTGACGACTTCATGACTACCCGGTTTTAGAAAATTTAGGTTTGATTCCTTTGGTTTAGGAAATTTTTCAGTTTTAACTGGTGGTGGTACAGGGGGCACAGATCTTGTGTACTCCGCTAACTCTGGCAAATGGACATGCAGGTCTCGGAACACTAATCCTAGGTCATGTAAATTTGGTTCAGTTCTATTGAATTGTTCGGCGTATCTGTTAGCTTGTGTTCCAAGTGTACATATGTACTTCTCCAATACATGTACTAGAATATCCAGAGGCGTCGAGTTTATACCGTTCCATCCTATAGTCTGACATATTTGCGCAACATTCCTTCGTAGTATCTCGCGGGCGTACGCCTCTGACATAATGACACCAACAAAGTTATCTGGAACAAACGTATTTATCGAAGTTATCACAACAAAACAACAGAAAAATCTATTTCACAGAATTAGCCATCTAATTTTAGTATCATTAGGTGATAATTTAACTGTCATAAACACGTTTATATGGCTAAAACTGTAAATCTCATGATTTTTATACCTGCAAGTGTCTAGTAGTACAGAGACGATGATACGAACAAGTGAAAACGTCACGTTTGGAACACACATGTATGCTTCCCTATAATCCTTGAATTTCACGGATAAGTTATCATAATACATAAACTGGTTTTATTGCAAAATAATGAAGTGTTTACGTAAAAACTTCTCAGCATTCTAAAAACACAGTGCCCCGTGCGCCATGATTGCATTTTGGGTTGTCAATGTTTGGTGTTGCATGTTTATAATAAATGAAATGGCGGTCTATTATGAAAGCGTTCATTTAAATAAAAATTACCAAAGTAGACAAAGTTTTACTTTTAAAAGGTTTTAAGAAAATAAAATTACAATAAGATAATATTGCACAAATAAAACAATGAGGTTATACGAAAATAACACTGAATGTGCCTTGCGGTTACACGTGCGTCTAACAAATTCGTTAAGTTATCATAACACGTAATTTTATTATTTAAAAAATTAAAGAAATGGCTTGAACCGTCCTGGGATGTTTATAGTTAATTTAAAAATTGATAAATCTCCTCTATTTATGTTTTCAATTCTGATTGCACTTTGAGTTTCTAGTAACTTTTCGTTTTTGTTTAAATTACGAGTATACGATTGGAAAATCTGTTAACATAAAAAAATATATGGCAAGAATGTTTTTAAAATATTTTTTAATCATTCAACATTTTCAAAACGTTTGACATGACACTTTGTCAAACAATACCGCAAATGGGGTTTGACGATGTGCTTTTGTAGAAAGAATTTCGTATTTCATAATTTTATACATGAATTGTTCATATAAGTTTGTTATGTACAGAAATATTAACAAGAAATATATGCATTCAAATATAAATACTACCCGGAACTTTGATTTCGCCCTCAGCCAAGCTAAGTCTTGCAATAATCATAAAAAAGCCTGTAAGGTCAACCTTTCAATATATTTTTGGTAATTGTGTTATTAGTTCCTAACGATAAAAATGACAACATCTTCGGAGGACGTATTATTGAGTGTTGGATACGTGAGATATAAGAAGGGAGATGGGACCCTTTACGTGATGAATCAGAGATTAGCTTGGATGCTGGAGAACCGAGATACAGTTGCTGTATCTCATAAATATGCTGATATAAAAAGTAAGTAGTCATACCAAAAGTTATTATATTTAAATAAACTTTCTTAGGAGCCTGAATTTATATTTGAAGAAATTTAGATATCTGTCTGATAACTAGTCCCCGTAGAACTAAGGTAGGAATGTAAATTAGATGACAATGATGATTTCTACGTTTAAGATTCAATAAATGTGTCAATCCAGACAACAAATACATTTTAAAAAGTTTAATGCTTGCTTTTACAGCATACACTTTAATAGTTACTTTGAAAAAAGTAGGACTATTCTGCATTAAATATAAAAGAATCTACAAGTCAGATAATACTCTCAGTATCTTATGTACATACATAAAATAATGATGTAACTGAGAATCACCTTTTTGATGTCAGTTAAAAAATAATTCTGATTTAAGGAAGAGACAATAGAGTATTTGTAAATTATGCAATAATGTTTTATTTATTTCATAAATCTATTTAAAGGCATGGTTTAAGTGTCTCTTGCATTAGATATATGTTTAAAAACTAACAATGACTGATATTGTAAATATCTTAGCTCAAAAAATCTCACCTGCGGGAAAGCCGAAAGTCCAACTCCAAGTTGTGTTACATGATGGCACATGTTCAACTTTCCATTTTGTTAATCCGGCCGGAGCGGACGCACAGGCCAAAGATCGGGACCAGGTTAAAATGTTACTACAAAACCTACTGCCCAAATTTAAAAGACAAATTGATGGAGAACTAGAGATGAAATCAAGGTAATTTTTACTCTAGTATTTATCTCTATGTTATATATTATGATAGATTGAGGTAGTTTTTAAGATTTGGTAGAGGGTATAATAATTATACTTCATACTAATATAATACAGAGAAAAGATTTGTGTTTTTGTATTTTTTTATGTATTCAATTGGTGTAATAACTACTAAGCTGATTTCAAAAATTCTTTGAACCTTAGAAATTTAATTTATCTCTCTCTCATTTTTTTTTCAAATTTTACACGGGTGAAGTCACAAGCAACAGCTATAAAATGGAGCAAAATTCCTTTACACTTTTTAATTAAATCATATATACTCTGAAAATATTTACCTCCTCATACATGACTTTATTAACTAAGTGTTGTATAGAGTATACAAATTATTAATATTGTTAATTTATGATTGTGTATGTTTTTTTGTCTACATTTCAGACTTTTGTCGCTCCATCCGACTTTAAAGCATTTATATGAAGATTTAGTTATATCTAAAGTAATAAGCAGCGAGGAATACTGGAATACACCCACATTGAAACATTATACAGATTCAAGTAATGTTAAACAAGAGGCTGGTAAGAATTGTGAAATTTTTGTACTATTTTACTGATAGACTCACTACCACTTATTGCTTGCTAGAAGACTAATTTTAGTTATCTTCCCCTCCCCACTTACTTTTTGAAGGGTGGGAAAGGGTAGTTGGATTTTGCAAAGAAGCTTTGTAAGGGAAATATTCGGAATTTGTGATAATAACAAGATGGCAGGACCATTTGTGCTAAATAAAATTTAATACTAAATTTCAAAACATTTATTCAGTTTTTCTACATCCAAAGTTACTGATATAAAGAAAGTTTAGATGAATGGATGTTTATTAGAATTTGTAGCCTAAACTGCATAACGGATCTATGAAATTTAGCACAGATGTAGAGCATAGTCAATACTTATGTCTTTTAATTCCACGCGCACGGAGTCGCGGGCGAAATCTAGTCTATCAGTATATATGAAAATACTATTCGGAGTTCTTAATTAAAATGCTTTTATTCTATATTTATTTATTCAGGTGTGTCGGGAGCATTTCTCGCTGATATACAACCTCAGACAGATGGTTGTAATGGACTGAAATATAACCTAACTCAAGATATAATAGACGCTATATTCAAAACATATCCAGCGGTTAGGAAGAAACACATAGATTATGTTCCTAATAAGATGACTGAAGCTGAATTTTGGACCAAATTCTTTCAATCACATTATTTTCATAGGTAAAAAATGCATTTACTTACATACTCTATTTATAATTTTTTAATAATCCTACAGTAAAATTCTAATAAGATGTACAAAAAGTAGGGTCAGATTCAAAAATTATTTTTAAATTTGAGTTTTTTGATATCAGTACTTTTCTGATCATATTACTAATCAAGATCACATAATAATAATTATTAAATGATGTTTGCGTATTTATTTTAATATATTAATGTTTATAATATTTCAGGGATAGGATAGCATCATCTTCAAGTAAAGACTTGTTTGGGGAGTGCGCCAAGTTGGATGACCAAGCCATTGCTTCCGCTATGAAGAATACTACATTAGATCTCACAGTATGTAAATATTCATTCTTACATATGTATTCAATTCATTTATTTAAATATTTAAAAAAAACCAACAGCGTACATATATAAAACACTTAAACGTTGAGTATTATGTATAGTAAGGCCAATGACAGGAATAATAATGTCAATATACATAAAAAAATGACAAATTTTGTTCATATCTAGTTTTAACATATCTGGATAAAATTAAAAAAAATACAGTTTGGAAGAGCACATAGGATATTAGTACAGTTTTTTTTAATTCATGCAGATGAAATCTCCGGCTCCTGCTAGTCTCTTTATAAAAATCTTATGAATGTTAAAAAAATAAGTCTAAATTCAAAATAATAATAAACATTTAACCAGCTAAAAACATATTGCAACAAAACACGTGAACAAAAAATGCAAACGAGAAAAAGAAAACTAACTACAGTAGAACCTCGGTAACTTAAAAACCTCTCTAACTTAAAAAAATAATATGGTCCCTTCCCATCGGAGCTCAAAACCTCTACAACGTAGACCCCTGAGAACTTAAAACTTCTATAACTTAAAATATTTTGTGTTTCCCTTGGACTTTAACTTATCGAGGTTCTACTGTAATAATCAAAACTAAAGAAAAATTGCAGAATTATCTTAAGTTTGTGTAAAAAGTTGTCTACAAAGGATAATTTATTGTGTTTAGGTGGATTTACCGCAGTTCATAGAGCCGGTGCCGCTGCTGCCCGCGGAGGACGAGGCGCCGCACGACAAGGACCGCGGCGACAGCACCTCCATACACCGCAATATGATCAAACGATTCAACCAACACTCCATCATGGTGAGTCATTCGCTACTAATCTATTATTAGATATTATTAATGTGTGACCACTAATATTAATTATTAATTCGTGATTTTTATGTAATGTGATAAAAGTTATTTTTTATTCATCTGATTGGCTCAGAGCCTACTATAGATTAGGGTGGCTAGGCCATAGTCAACCACGCTGGCCCACTGCTGGTTGCTTCACAAATATCTTTGAATTTCTTCACCGATGTGTGAAGACATCACGATGTTTTCCTTCACCGTAAGAAAGTCGGGTAAATTATGTACATATGAATTTCCAAAAATTGAAAATCACATTGGTACAGCGGGATTCGAATCCAAGTCTTATAGATTACATGTCAAGTGCTTAAACCTTTGAGCCACAAGAGATTATTACTGTGTGACCACTAATAGTAATTATTAATTAGTTATTTTTTGTAATAGGGTCAGATTATTTTTTTTGACTTAAATAATCATAACTAAATTATTAATATTTGATCATTAATTAATAATGAATAAACCTATTATTAATTAGTGACTGAGAATGAACACAGTTTTTATGAAATAGTAATTGTTTTGTTGATAATGTATTTAATAATATATAATTATGCAGTGTTATTAAAAATAATGAGGTTGTAAATACTTTATGTGTATTTTCAGGTGCTCAAAGCTAGTCATAAAACAAACTCTAGTAATAGTAATAGCAGTAATAGTAAAACAACAAATAATAATAACAAAGTAGTAGAAAACGGTGTGAAAGAGACAAACGGAGTAACGGAAAAAAGGCCAGCGGAGGAGAAATGTAGTACAGAACCAATAGAGAAGAAGAAGAGAATATTAGAGAAAATACATTACGAAGATCTAGAAGATTCGAATACGAATGGAGAGACGCAAGAATTAAAGTTATCAAAGGTAGGTTTTGAAAATAACCAGCTTAGTCTCAAATCTCGAAGCATTTTGGCTTACATTTAACTAGCTTTTGCCCGCGACTCCGTCCGCGAGGAATTAAAAAAAATGTTTGTAGCTTATAATCCCTTCAGTTTTTAAGCTACAAACTCTAACATCCATCCATCCAAACATTCATAATATTAGTAAGATGTGAGATTAATTGTGTTGTATAAAATGTTTTTTTTTTATAGATTTTTTCTTTGTTTTAGGTAGAAAGATATTTATTAGGACCGTCGTCCCAGATGAGTCAGACAGTGAACACGACCAACCCGCCGCCACTTTCCGCCCTCGCTTCAGTCTGTCAGGTAAGTTAATATGTTAAAACAGATTTCGACTAAAAAACATGTTTATACACAGATTTTAAATAGTTTATTATGCATTTATCACTGCGTATTGGGTTTTAGGTTTCACTAAAGACGTTGCCAGATGACCTAGACTAGGTTTATATATCTTATCTTACTAATATTGTAAATGCGAAAGTTTAGATGGATAGATAGATGGATGGATGGATGTTTGTAGCCTAAACGGCTGAATGGAGCTGGATGAAATTTGGCATAGACGTAGAGGATAGTCTGGAAGAACACATAGGCTACTCACTTTTGTCTTCTTGAACTCCACGCGGACGGAGTCGCGGGCGAAAGCTACTAGTATATTCTACATTTTTCGATTTTTAGCAATATCCTCAAGTTTTCCATTGCAAATGTCAAAATTCAAATGCACAAATGACAAGGAAGGTCCATTCATTCGATAACAATCACCGTTACCATGGCAACCTTGCTTACTTACTTACTAAGTTGAAACTTAGGGAGTAAAGTAGACGCTATTAATAGCGTGAAAATATGTATCCTAAAGCGTGTCGTAAGTGAAGGGCTTTTTATTGAAGAATAGAATTATTTAAAAATATACTGTTTATATTGCTGACATCCTACGTCACAAAATACTGTGTGTTTACGCTTTATTATATTAGTATAGATAATACTATATCCTACTGAGGGTACATTTTTGTTGGGTTGTCCCGCACTTAAATCCTTTACGTTTTAAGTACCTAAAAGGTGTTGTAAGATGTGTGAGGTGTGTATGGTTTGTATGGTGTGTATTATGTGCAACGGCGGATCCAAGGGGGGGATACAAGGGGGATCATGGGGGTCATGACCGCCCCCTGAGCGGGTTGGTTGAGCTTGACAAAATATATTTACATATTTTGTCAAGTTCTTGACTTGACCACGACTGTGACGCCCCCCCCCCCTCCCTGGAGCCAAAGCTGGATCCGCCCTTGATTATAGGTGTGATATGTTTGTGTGTATGATGTTTATGATTTGTATGATATGTATGGCGTGTAGGCGTGGAGCGGCGGGCAGCAGTGCCTGCGGCCGGTGCGCGTGGGCGCGGGCGCGGCGGTGGGCGCGCTGGGCGAGCTCAGCCCGGGCGGCGCGCTCATGCGCCACCAGCACGCCGCCTCCATGGCACGTTAGTATGCCTACCTAGGCGACATTACTCACACAAACTACACATCTCCCTTTATCCTACTCCCGTAAAATCCATCTCATCTCAGTCACTCTCTTTTTGATATCACCTTTAAATCCAACCCTTTCTATGTGAACCTCTACCGGTGTACCTCCACACTAATAACTAACGTTCTCCTTGGAACATGCGATTCATCCCTCCTCATAACATGACCATACCATGCTAGCCTTTTACTCCTTACCTTCTCTACCACTGGGGCGACTCTCAAACTTGCTATTCTATTCATCACCAGCTCACTATACGTCCCCACTGACGGGAGAAGTCTACCCTTAATTAAGGGTGATTAGGCCTTAATCACGCTACACTGAGATTTTTTTTTTTGAGTTGGGGTTGGGCACTGGGCGTTGACTTCACATATATCTTTGAATTTCTTTGTCGATATTTGCATCACGATGTTTTCTTTCAACTTAAGAACGTTGGGTAGATTATTTCCTACGCCTCAATGGGGACGTTGTGACGATAACCGATATTGGTATTCTATTCAGTTTTTATAGTGTGGATGTTTATTAGAGCTGATCCCCGCGGAGGTGAAGAGTGAGCTGCACCGGCTGTACCTGTCGTGCGGGGAGGTGCTGCGGGAGCTGTGGCGCAGCTTCCCGCAGCCGGCGGGGGGCGGGGGCGGTGCGGGGGAGGCGGACGACGCCGCGCGCGCACACGCGTTCTATGAAGCCTTGTTGAGGTTCAGGAATGTTAAACTAAGGCCTTTCGAGGTAAGTTTTATCGATTTCATTAATTTTTTTTTCAGGTATTAATTTTTAAGTTTAACCGAAGTTGTTTTTTTTTAACTTTAAGGGTGAGTTGCACCATATCGCCGGTTACCGTTAAAGTTAAAATTATTTGTAATGGTAATATTTGAAATAACCTTAAAATTTACTAAGGGTGAGTTACATTAACTAACTGTAAACCTTAACCAGCACATTCCCGATGGTTACGTCTACGGATGTCCATGATATTCGCTATACCAGTTTTGCGCTGGTCAAAATGACGTCATATTTGACACTAATCATAACCGCCCGATTTTGGGCGGTTATAGTTAGCGTTACGGTTAGTGTCAGTTCGGTAGTGTCAACTGTCACAAGCTCTTATCTTCAGAAGTACAAATAATGGAAAAAGTAATGGAAAAAGAAAATCTCTACTATTATCCTATACGTAATCCAGAAGAATAAAGTCTTGCGTGCTCGGAAATAATGGATTTCCAAGATGGAAATCGAAATTTGGCCAAACATTCAGTTTGGACAAATTTCGAGTGTCTAAAGCTATAGCAACAGCGCTTGTCCCTTTTCTCTTATTTAAAAAATGTCCTCCATAAAAGGACAATTTGTAATATGCATTGACAGGACAATTTATAATATGGAAAATAAATAATATGCATTTATATTTGTATAATTTTATTGCTTCATTTTTGGCGCTACATATTTGAGTAGTAAAGTAAATATAGTTCCAAAAATGGCCCAAACTAGTATATTTTCACAAGAGTTTGCCATTTTCTCCATCTCCGTGGGCAAAAAGTTTATGTCACTATAAAATACCATGCGTATGATACATAAATATAATTGGCGAAACATGTATTTCCAAACATTTTAATTTGCGTAAATGTCATTCTTGACACCAACTTGACACTTTAGTGACATTCAGGTTTAAATGTTTCCATTGTAAAAACGAAAAACATATAAAACCTCTGTGAGAATATGTTTTTGCACTTGTAACCCTATTAACTATAACTATAACTTTTACGATAACCGGCGATTTGATGCAACTCACCCTAAGTGTTTTTTTTTTCAACCTGTGAATTCACAGCTTCGGTTCCAAGTATTTTTAACCCTTGATTTTAAGATCCTGTTCCAGTGTTCGTCATAATTACTTACTAACTAAAAAAATTATTTCATTTATTCATTTATGTTTCATATCCGAAAATGTGAATATGTGAATTTTTAAAAAAAATGATTATCTGGAATTTTTTCTCTCTCGTAAAATTCAATATTTCTCCTCTTACAATCACTCTGCTTTAAAGGTTATATGTAAAAAAAAAATAGGAATAATGCTTGTAATTTAATTACAGGAAAAGATGTTAAGAGATCTAACACCTTTAGCGACGACGTTGACCAAACATTTGAACCAAATGATAGACACGGCGTGCGCCAAGTACGCCGTCTGGCAACAGCGGCAAGCCAAGCTGCGGTAGTACTGGATGCCTTAGTGTTCACACAATAGAGTTCAATTTACTAACAAACGCCTTAACAGGCAAAAACTGATCCTTATAGTAACCAATATAGGGTTCACTTTAATATCAAACGCTTTAACAGGCAGAAAGTGAACCTTATTGCACTAAGATAGAGTTCAATTTACTATCAAACGTCTTATCAAACTGAACCTCATTGAACAGAATAAGAAAATGGGTCTCATTTGCAACCGATTAAAGTTCAATTTAGATTGCCTTCGAACCAATTTGTTAAACCATAAAGAATTTAATATGAAATCATTTGTTACCTAATATGCAAGTGTACGGAATGCACTAAAGATTTTTGGAAATATCAATTTTTTTATATTACTTTAATAATTAAAACGGTTCAACTGTTTTACCGACCGGGATGTCAGTCAGTCAAACAGTTGCATTGAATTATTAAATTCATTAAATTTTAATAATTGAATTGTTAAATTCATTAAAATGTAATAATTGAATTTTTAAATTGATTAAAATTTAATAATTTAATTTTAAATTCATTAAAATGTAATAATTGAATTATTAAATTTTAATGAATTCGTTCAGTCGGTTGAAAATACGTTTTGTTTGAATGTAAATCCCAAAAGGCCATGTCGAATTTAGAAATAAGAACGATATTGAAGTATTTGTATGACAAATGATATTTATACGAACACTACAATTATTGTGTAAATATATCTAATAGTTTGCTGTAATGAAGGGTGAATCAGCTTCGAACCAAAATAAACTTTATTACAATAGAATATGATTCATTTTTGTAACATTTAGTTGATAACGAAAAATAATACAGATTTTTTTTGTGAGAGAAATAATGTTAATTAAAATCTGTTTATTGTACATTTTAATAATTGACAGCGACTTAAAACTTGATTTTTGATACGAAATTAAAATCATTAAATTTTAAAAATGCCAATAATTTTTAATAGTACTTTTTTAAGGAATTATTATTAATTTTGGACTATTATCATTTAATTATGTCCATTAGTAATAGAAATTCAAATTGCATTACGTACAGTCGCGCACATTGTCGTCAAATTTTTATTGTACTCAATAATTGTTAATATTTCGCCATAAATTATTTAATTCACACTTAAAATATTAAAATATAAACTTGTATGAAGTTAAATTGTGTACAATCTACAATAAAAATACGTAAATTGTCATTTATTTTATTATATTGTAAAAAAATATTCGACAATAATCATAGTTTTAAGTGAAAGTCAAAATTTCTCACGTTACCATTTTTTGGTTGATTTAGGTTAAATTAGTAAATCGAAATTATTATTAATGTTTAGTTTTAATTTTCAAACTGAATGTACTCCTATTTGCATTTAACTACAAAAATTATTTTATACTAGCTGTTGCCCGCGACTTCGTCCACGTATTAAACATACGAACTATAATAACAAAAAAACTACGTATCTCTCGGGGAACCTTATCTCGTGTACTCCAGGCTTTGTTTTATATCTGTGCCAAATTTCAGTAAGATATGTTGAACCGTTGCAGAATGATCGAGTAAACATTTAAAAACTAAATTAATGAGTCCCACGGGAACCGTAACTATTCCAGGGATAAAAAGTAGCCTATGTGTTCTTCCAGACTATGCTCTACATCTGTGCCAAATTTCATGGAGATCCGATCAGTCGTTTAGGCTACAAACCCTAACAAACATCCATACATCAATAGTAACTTTCGTATTTATAATACCATTTTACCACTTTTTTGAAGTTTCAAATGGCAGGAAAAATTACTTAAAATGCAATTCTTTTCAAATTCATAATTTGTTAAAAAAATATCACTTAAATTTTAAAATGACTTTTGTAGTTGACTGTACATGAAAAGCAATAAGTATAATATACAAATCGTTGAATAACGCTTTAACTTATTTAAAATAAACTAGGGATTAACACACTCAGAGTCCTATCCGCTAAGGAGGTCCCTTAATGTTAAAAACTAAAGAACCGATGAAGTATATTTAAAGGACTTTATGGCTGGTAAATATTTAAATTAGAGGTGTTTACCGTTGGGCCGTTCAGTTTTACCATTGGACCCTAAGATTTTTTCCCGTTAGAATGAATTATTCCATGGATGTATCAGCTGAATGGGAAAAAATGAGCATTGGACTGATCGGTCCAACGGGAAACATCCAAAATTGGTTTAATTTGTGACAGTTTCTGATTCATAGTCGAATAGATATTAAAGAAGTTGAAAATATTAGAGGAAAGAAAATTATGTGCAAATAAAGACTGACTTCCTTATTCAATTTAATTTAGTTACCTTTTTAAGAATTTAGTATAGTTCATTTAGCATTTAATATATTACGAGTAACTGGCTTGATAAATGTGGAACTAAAGAGTTTGTTCCTATTAAAAGTTACTCTATATTTTATTAAGAAAACAGCTTGTTCCTGAATATAGAAAAATACGCAACAATTTTGACAAAATTGCGTTTATCTTGTTTTCTTATCGAGAAAATAACTAATGACAAAAGAAAAATAACTGGTTTCTTGACAAATAAATGGGTAATTTATAGAAAGTATTCAATGAAAATCTCCATTTTTTTTAATAAAATGTAATTTTCTTTCCTCTAATAATTAGAGTTTTCTGCTAAATACATGTTATTACTGAACAGTTCATTGAAAAAATCATTTAAATAATTTTGTACTTTCATTTTGATAAGATTCTTTTAGTTCGTAAAAGCTAAAATTGCGCGCCAAAAAAAAAATGCATCATGACGTAACAATGATTTAGTAAAATAACATTTATTTTCACGTTGTATATATTTTCGTGTAATAATTAAGTTTCAGGAAGATCTCCGGATGTTAAAATAATGTTTCTCGTTACATCTTTCTGTTAAATTGTAAATTTATTTTAGTTTGTATGTATTTAAATATCTGTTCGCGCGCAAGACGCGTGTAATTTAGTTCATTTCTGTTATATGCGCAATAAATGATTTTTTGAACATTACCTTTTTTATTTTAAACCCATTTTAAGATACAAAAACTTAATAGAGAATAAAATAACGCATTACAAATGTTTCCGTAGAATCTAAATATAATTGTGATTTTGAGAATCTATTAATAGATGGCGTTAGCGATCAATAGAGTAAGATTATGCGAATTTCTAACGCCATCTATTGATAGATTCTCAAAAAAACTTGTAAATATAATCATTCATACTAATATTACAAATGCGAAAGTATAGATGGATGGATGTGTGTTTGGTCAGTTCAGCCGTTTAGGCTACAAACTCAAACATCCATCCATCTAAACTTTCACATTTGTAATATTAATATAAATTATTATTATCAAATGGCTTTGAGGATCTGCCAATAGATAGCGTTATTAATATTCAGATAATCTCACTAATATCTGTAACTAACGCCATCTATTGATAGATCCGTAATTCTACGAAAAGTTTTGTATGATAAATTGTTTTAGTACCTGTCAGTGAAAGTACCGATAAAATGGTGTTCACTGCCTCATCCATATATTTATTAAATGTGTTATTGACAAAGATTATCACACTATTTTCACTATTATTAATGAATTCCGAATTTCAAAGATTATGGGTGAAAATAAAACAAAAAAATCTTTATTTATAAGTTTTATTTAAACTATACAATAAATCAAAGAGTACATTATATGGAATGTTTATATTTTAGACATACCAAATGACTGAAAAATTACTTATAAATTATAGATACATTTCAATATAATTATATTTTTAATGAATATAATCTGCTCTTTAAATATGCGATTTTCACCAACTAAAGACAGTGTAGGTTACATTTGTACAGAATATATACAACTAGCTGTTCCCGCGGCTTCACCCGCATGGAGTTATAAAAGCTTTATTTTATTGTTTACATTTGTCAAATTACAATTACAAATGTCAAAATGACATGACATAATGACAACCTTATTTCCTTGATGTTGGCAGCAACTTATGATCTCTTTCCCACATTAGGGTTGTTATCCAAAATATTTACCCCAAAGTTTAATGGCGTTAAAATATATAGCTTAAAGCGTGACGCAAATGTAGGGCTTTTTATTAAAAAAAGAATTATACAAAAACGTTGTAATTGCTGACATCTTAGGCAACAAAGAAGTGTGTGTTTACGCTTTATTATAATAATATAGATTATTAAATACTATAATATCTCGCTAGCTTCAACTAGCTGTTTTCTTTACATACATTAATAAAATAATTAAAACCTGTCTTTTGTTAGGAGTAAATAACACAAAAAGTGTACATGTTAAGTACTAAAGCTCGCTATATAAACAATTCTATTGTTCAGTTAACACTGAACTGTAGGGCAAAACAAGTAAAAGACAAGAAGTATAGAGTAACACAGGTCTTATTTTGATCGCTTTAAACTTTTTTAACTAAATTTTAAAAAAAAATTAAAAAACAAAAATTGACATAGTTAACATTTTTATATTATTTATGAAGGTAGAAAATCTCTAGTTCCTAAGTATTAAGCAATAAGGATTTTTGTATATAACAATCATATAATGTAAAGCCAGCTACACACGTTAATTTACTCTTTAATGATTGTTCAGTTATAACTGAACGTGTGTTGCCGGCTTTATACTCTACAATTAAAACAATCAAATCAGGTATAAATAATTAATATGTACAATATAAATAAAACTAAACCAAATAACAAGCATACAGCATAATAAACATTTCTTTATTATTTACTTATAAAATGTATTATTTCAAGTACCTCACTAAATAATTTAGTTAGCAGCGTTATATTTGCAAATTCTAAGGAGACAAAAAAATACAATAAAAATCCTTTAATATGAAACATGATTCCAAAAGCGAGTTCCTATTTAAACATTCCTACTAAAAACCACGTAAATTTTTTTTTTATATAATCACTAGCTTTTGTCCCCGACTTTGTCCGCGTGAAATTAATTCATCAGGCTGTGATCTACATTTAAACAAAATTTAATAAAAATTTTACACCTATTTGGAGATACATACATCCATCCATACTTCTGCATTTATATTAGTATGAAGTATACAAAACATATTTTTATAATAAAATCTAGAAATAGTTAAAAATTTAAACATAAATTGCATTGGATGAATCGAAAGCAAATCAAGAAATATTTTACGTTCTACAGAGGTAAGCAGATATTATAAAGTTTTATTGATTTATTTAGATATAGTCTAGGCTAAGTCTAGGCTCCCCTACTACATTTTTTCTGATAAGAAGTCATAAGTTATTACTTAATTTGTAAAGAAAATTGTGTGTTTGAATTATAAAGCAGAAAATCTAGAAGGTACATAAAACATAGGCCTCAAATTCAAGGCTAAATAGGCAAGAAAATACACACAATAGGTTCATTTAAGTTAATATACAGGGTGATTCTTAACGGACGGGCTACAAGCTACAGGTAGAGGATCTTTTCTGTCAAGAATCATCCTGTATAGAGACAATTAAGGTGAAAATGCTGTTAAAAAAACATAGCACATCTCGACTGTAAAACCTTTAGTGACAAACTATGAATGGTCAGATATAAATATTTTATACAATTCAAATCTCCTTTAACTATATATTAGGATAAATATGTCGAACAGAAGGGCTTGTCCCACTACTGGCTGATAGAGGCTCAGATAGCTTAAAAATGACGTCACTGTCAGATAAGGTAACAAAATCTGATATTTCCATCACACATTTTACACGTTGGATTGTTATCAGATAGTATACAATTCGGTGGGACAGGTCCTAAGAGTCAGTCCTACTAAATTCTTGTAAATATCGGATTTTGTTACCTTATCTAACAGTTACGTCATTTTTTAGCTATGTGCCAGTGACTTTCGATTAGCAATGTCGCTTGTAGAATCGAAAATGTATTAAAATGTATGAATGAATACGCAAGCAAGTGACTTGTCAAATGTTATTGTCAGTTCCATACATTTTTAAGCTATCTGATGCTCTATCAGCCAGTTGTGGGAGCAAGGTCGGATTCAGTTTTGGCGCCAGGCTGGGTGACATAGTCGTGGTCAAGTCAAGAGCTTGACAAAATATGTAAATATATTATGTCAAGCTCTTGACCAACTAGCTCAGGGGGAAGTTTTTTTTTAACTTTTTATAACCTAAGGTGGCAAACGAGCGAGCGGCCACCTGAATTCGCCAAAATGGCGAAGCGACCGCTGCCCATAGACATCCGCAATTGCAGATACGTTGCTTACCCTTATCCGACAGAGGATACGCACATAAAGAGGATATTTCTCATTCCTATGCATCTACCGTCAAATCCGCTTTCCCTTCCCATCCCCTTATAAGACGAGGGTGGTAAAGCGAAAGGGACTTAAATTGGGCTTAGTTCTTAGTGTATGCTAACTCACTGTTATCTATCTGAAGGCTTTGATGATCCAGACCAGGAGCAGGACCCCGAAGACGAGGCCGATGAGGATGAAGATGAACATCTTCCTGCGGTAGCTGCGCTGGTGCTGCGCCGCCTTCGCCAGCTCCTCCACCCCCGCCTCCACGCTGGCGCCCGCGGCCGAGATGTGGCTCTCCACCGTGTCTGAAACACACAAACACACATAAATAAAACATACAATAAATATATAGACGAACGCACAGTGAACAACATTTTTTTTCACCCGTTAAATTATGGATACTAGCCTACACCTGTGACTCCGTCCGCGTGGAATTAAAAATAAAATAAAAAGTATCCTATGTGTTCTTCCAGAATATCCTCTACATCTATACTAAATTTTACAGAAATCTGTAGAGCCGTTTAGGCTACAAACTATAACAAACATCCATCCATCTAAACTTTCGCATTTATAATATTAGTATGATAGTATGAAGTACATATGATATGAAAATATAAAATTACCAATAGGTGTCATTAATTAATATTTAAATGTTAATTTTGTAAAAGGTCTGTATCCTGTTGGATTAAAAAAAAAGTTTTTTTTTATAACAAAAGGTAGCAAACGAGCAAGCAGCCACCTGAATCCGCCAAAATGGCGAAGCGACCGCTGCCCATAGACATCCGCAATTGCAGATGCGTCGCCTATCCTTATCCGACAGAGGAGGAGATGCACATAAAGAGGATTTCTCCCCTTCCTATGCATCTCCTCCTCTGTCAAATCCACTTCCTCCTCCCATCCTCTTCTTATGTGAAAAGGGTGGTAAAGAGAAAGAGACTTACATTAGGCCTCCGGCTCCACACTCATCAGACGAAACACGGCATTGGTTCCATTTCACGGCTGTCTTCTGTGTGGTCGTGGTATTACTGGGGGCGGGCACTACCACTGTTAAATGTTAATTCTATGAAAGGTCTATATCCAACAGGGTGATGACCCTTTCTCTCCCCATCATGGTGATGATGATGATGGTGGTGATGATGATGATGACGTACGTACCGACGGCCTGCCCCTGCGCGCTGACCATCTCCGCCAGGTCCTGCATGATCTGGTTGACGTCGAGCACGTCCGCCTCTATCTTACTGAGCTGCGCCTCGCGCTCCAGCAACATGCTCGTCTCGAACTGCACCAGGCGCGCCTACAACACTCCTTTATACTAACCCTGTTTCCTCGCGGCTTCATCCGCATGGAATTATGAAAATCTAAATTTTATTGTTGACATGTGTCAAATTGTCAATTGCAAATGTCAAAATGACATGGCAACCTTGCTTCTTTAATGTTGGCAGCTTATAGTTTATAGTCCCTTTCCCACATTGTTTATTTTTCCAATTTATTTACTCCCTGAATTTAATGGCGTGAAAATATATAACCTAAAACATGTAAGTGTAGGGCTTTTTATTAAAGAAAGAATTATTGACAAATATGCTGTGATTGCTGACATCCTAAGCTACGAAGTAGTGGCGTAGGATGTCAGCTATTAAGAAATGTACTGAAAAATGAAAAAAAAAGTGTTAAGTTACATTTTATTTTGGATCATTTTTTAAAAATGATGGAAAACATTATGTCTGTCTACACATTTTTTTAAACACATATTGGTTCAAATTAAAATATATGTGTTAGTAGTACAGCATTGACTGTGACCTAATCACCCCTTAGGGTAGCCTTTTACTCTCTTAGTGGAAACATATATATACCTGTGCCTGCTGGTTGTCGAGGAGCGCGGCCTCCTCATCATCAGCGGCTGCCTGCTGCTCCAGAAGTCGAGGGTCGTTTCTCACTCGAGGCTGAGAGGGCATGTACGCCGCCATCTTCTCTGATACTTGCTGTACAGATTACATTTACTAAACTAGGGGAAAGCCGATAAGGAAGCTAGTATAAAAGGTAGTATTAAAATACTTTTTATTCTAAGTAAATGCTTAACATATGGGAACATCCGAACCCTGAATATGGATATGCGAGACAAAAAAATCAAACGAAAACATTGTTTTAAATTATCAATCAACTGTAGTTCAAGACTTTGCTCGTGTAGATTAAAAAAAAAAACATTTAAAAATATAGCCTATGTTACTCACAGATAACGCATCTTTTTAATGGTGTAAGAATTTTTGAAATCGGCTCAGTAGTTTTTGAGTTATTGTAATACATACAAAAATAAAAAAAAAAACAAATCTTTCTCCTTTATAATATTAGTACAGATTAACGGTTCACGGATCACGAATTCCTCTGTGCGGAATTAAAAAAAAATTTAGTAATACAACTTTCTGATGGTAAAAGTTTTTTCTTTAATTAATCCACTAGTTTTTATGTGAATCCAATACATACAAAACATTTTCCACTTTATAATATTAACATAGATATAAATAAATATGACATTTACGTTTGATAAATAAAATAAGTAATGTTACCTTAAAATGAATTACAGATGACAAAGGCATTTGGAAAACCACTGTTTACTATCTAAAACTATTTTCAATGTCAAAACTTATTACACTATGTGGGTAGTTTAAATTTTTGTTCCTGTGTTTAACAGTTGTGTTAACAACTTTATAAAATAACGCCATCTAGCGGCCATTTAAGAAAGTTCAATTAACAATTTTTTTTCATAACATTTTTCAGTATTAATTCTTAAATATACTTTCAAGGTTAAATATGAAATATTCATATATATGTCCACACAAAATAAACAAAATCCAATCCAAAATCTTAACTATGGATGGATGTTAGAGTTTGTAGCCTAAACGGCTGAACGGATCTTCATGATATTCAGCATAGATGTAGAACATAGTTTAAAAGAGCACATAGGCTATATACTTATGTTTATTTTAATTCCACATGGAGTTACGGGCGAAATTTAATATATACTTAGTATTATAAAGTGGAAGATTTGTATTTTTTTATGTATTGAAGTAACTCAAAAACTACTGAACCAATTTCAAAAATTCTTGGACCATTAAAAACCTATATTATCACTGAGTAACTTAGGCTATATATTTTTGATTACTTTAATCCCACGCGGAGTTACAGGACTAATCTAGTATACATAAACTTCTACTCACCTTCTGTACAGTTGTATATTTTTCCAATGCATCTCTGAAAGCCTGCGTCAGCCTTTCCACTTGCAACTTCTGTGGCTTATCCCCTCTCCGCACTATCACACCTAACCGCTGGATATCTCTAGCAGTTGCTGATACTGACCCGTTGACATTCTGCTGAGAATCATGACTGGAATGAAAATTGTACTGTCATAACATTGTATAAACTTCTTGTATGAGACTGGTCCCATTTATTGTTGTTACATAGTGTGTTAAAGCCTTAAAAATAAACACGGTATTTTAAACTTAGGAATAAACTGAGTATAAGCAAATATTACTACAAATTTTACTTATACTTAGTTTATTCCTAATTTTATCTTTGTACCACATTTAGTTCTTTTCACCACATTCAGTTTCTTATAATCTCTAGTTTACAATCTTACTAATATCATAAATGTGAAAGTTTAGATGGATGTTTGTTTGTAGCCTAAAATGCTGAATGGGTTTACTGAAATTTGGCACAGATGTAGAAGATAGTCTGCTAGAACACATAAGCTAGTTTTAGTTTTTTTAATTCCACGCGAACAGAGTCGCGGGTGAAAGCTAGTGATTGTATAAAGGATAACTTGTTCCTTGTAATATCTAGATTACAATTTTATTACAATTACATTATATTCATAATGCCTAGGTTTCTTAGGGGCACATATATTAAAATATGCTGTTGCTTGCGACTTCGTCCATGTGAAATTAAAAAATAGTAAAAACAGCTTTTTAATGATGAAAGAATTTTTTAAATTGGTTCAGTAGTTTTTGAGTTATTCCAATACATGCAAAAATACAAATCTTTACAATATTAGTGTAGTATAGATTAAATTTACCCGACGTTCTTACGGTGAAGGAAAACATCGTGATGCAACCTGCACATATCAGCGAAGAAATTCAAAGATATGTGTGAAGTCAACCAACCCGCACTTGGCCAGCGTGGTTGACTATGGCCTTGTCCCCCTAACTTTAGGGTAGGCTCCGAGCCCCTCGGTGGGGACGTATAGTGAGCTGGTGATGATGATGATAGATTAAATAGTAAACAATATTAAAATCCAATCATAAAGACAAATAAGATCAATACATATTAATAATATTGGAGATGTGTACAATATCAATAAAATAATAATATTTAGTACACATGATTTTATGGTGCTTTTTTTTTATAACATAAGATGGCAAACGAGCAAGCGGCCACCTGAATCCGCCAAAAGCGAAGCGACCGTTGCCCATAGACATCCGCAATTGCAGATGCCTCGCCTACCCTTATCCGACGGAGGAGGAGACGCACATAAAGAGGATATTTCCTCTTCCTATGCATCTTCTCCATCGTCAAATCCACTTCCCCTTCCCATCCTCTCATAAGAAAAGGGTGGTAAAGAGAAAGGGATTTAAATTAGGCCTCCGGCACCACACTCATAAGACGAAACACGGCATTGGTTCCATTTCACGCCTGTCTTCTGTGTGGTCGTGGTATTACACCGGGCGTGCCGGCCCATTCGTGCTAAGATGTTAAAGAGGGCACTACCACTGTTAACTTTGTTGCTGATAGTAAAAAACCAATATATAAACTTTATATCTTTCTATCTGCCTACAAGTTCCCGGTTATTTTTGTAATCTGAACAATCTTCATTTTGCCCAGTATTGCCCAGTATTGTTATGAAGGCAGCCGATGTATGTTGGAATATTGTAGTATAGTTTTTAATTCTACACTAATGAAGTCAAGTAAAATATAACTCTATATGTCTCTACTGTGGGGCTCGGAGTCTACCCAAAGTGAGGGGAGACTAGGCAACAGTCAACCACGCTGTTGAAGTGCAGGTTGATTGTCTTCACACATATCTTTGAATTACTTCACTGATATATGCAGGTTTGAACACAATGTTTTCCTTCTCCGTAAAAATATCTAATAGATTAAACTATATATCATACTAATATTATAAATGCGAAAGTTTAGATGGATGGATGGATGTTTGTTAGAGTTTGTAGCCTAAACGACTGAATGGATTTCAATGAAAATTAGTATAGATGTAGGGGATAGTCTGGAAGAACACATAGTCTACTCACTTTTGATTTTTTTAAATTCCACGCTGACGGAGTCGCGGGCGGAAGCTAGTTTAAAATAACTGTGTACTTACATCTTATCTCTCAACTGAACACTATCATTAGGACCACCAATTTGCTTCATCATCTTCTCCAATGATCGGAGACCACTGTTAATAGCGTTTATATTGTCGGCTATAGCCTCACTCAAGTTATACAGTTCAGTGGGGCTGAAATCTGCGAAGCCCACGGTAGGTGGCGCTGCTGTCGACCCATAGTCACGACTCGAACCACTGATAGGTTCCCGTTCAGACATTTTGATACTGTAAGAAAATTGTTGTTAGTTATAAAATTATCAATACAAATTATATACTTTTATTACTAGCATTATAAATGCGAAAGTTTAGATGGATGGATGGATGGATGTTGGAGGGTAACTCAGGAATGGCTCAATGGATTGTGAAATTTGTCATAGACATAGAAAATACTCTGTAAGATGACATAAGCTACCTAACAATATTTATTTTTAACCCACCAAACAGAATCGAGGGCAAAATTTAGTACTACACATGACATTGTTTTCTCGATTTTTATGATTAATTTTTTTTACTTTTGATTGAATTTAAAAAGGGGTTTAGAATAAAACTTTATGTCCAGACAAATTCTTCAAGTATTTGCTTTATTCATTTAATAGCATAATTAATCAATGACAGTCATTATTGCTAACAAAATGTTTGGTATGAAAAAATGAATTAGAAGTTGACGAATTGAATTTCCGAAAAATATTTTTTAAGGGAATTTGCAATTAAAATATTATCCATGCTCATTACAATCTCTAAATGGAAACAATGACATTCAAAAACTAAATTTAGAACATTTCATATTTTTAAGAGGTTTATAAATGCGTAATAAAATAAATGTGTCCGCAAGAAAAAAGTACCTTTAAAATGATGCAATGCGAAACTTGTTCTTGTTTTAAAATGTGGCACAATAATTTCCCCTGCACCGTAAATAAACCTACTGTGTTGTAGCCAATGAAACAATGAATCACTATAAATTACAAATATTTTTACAGCGAACTACTCGAAAAATTCGACTCCAATGGACACCGCTAAAATCTAAAGCTATTTCAAGAATGTGATAGAAAACTTTAGGTATCGATAAACAAAACCGGAATGTTGAATAATTCTACCTTTAAATACGCAGTGTTAATAATTTGGTCAACGAATAAATGATAAAATTTGCTTTTGTAATTCTGTCAAACAAATGTCAATTCGGTGTCAAAGTCAAACATTGACTTTCTTTTTTTTATTTCCAAAGACAAGGGCAAAATATGTTTACATCACGCTTTTTTGTGTCTTTTTTTAGAATTTTCTTAAAGTCTTAGAAATAAAACAGTAAAATGTTATTTTCTTTTATTTTGTGAAAGATAGTTTCACTATATAGCTTTTTTGAAAAACTAGCAGAAGTTTTTCTTTTAAATAAGTAGCTTATCGAATCTAAAACTAGGGCACTGCAACCCAGGAAGATGAGTGTTATACGTGAATAATCGCTTACAAGTCTCTTTGTAGTACGTATTCCGGGTCCTTTGAAGCATCACTTGTCTTATTGTGTCGTATACCGCTAGCCGTTTGCTATGGCACTAAAATGATATGTACAGTGTGGGATATAGAACGTCTTGCTTCCGAATGTTGTCATCATATCGAATAAGTTTTGAATTTGAACATCAAACGTTGACTTAAATCGCTTACATAAATGAACCATTTAAAAACAGTTGAAATATGCGTCTCTATTCGTTTATTATTGCAACCAGAAAAATTAGACGAAGATAAACCAAATCAACTAAAAAACTCTTGATTATCTCCTGACTGAGTCTTCAGCTACAATTAGGACAAAAAAATAAGCTCCTGTGATCAAATAATGATTCACTGAAGTTAATGTACATGATTTTAAATGAAATTAAACTTTTAATTGAGTATTACTTATGGCACTCGCAATGACTGCAAGGAGCGTTGTGTTTGAATAAGCACAAGAGTGACAGGCGCTCTGTCATTGACGCAACGAGCAATAAAAGTTGACTTGCAATGATGTATGTTTTAATTAGTGCCCTTTGTTATTTTAAGTGAATTAAAAAAGTAATGCAATTTGGCGTCCCGCCAAAAATTTTTTATGATTTATAACTGGCAATCTTTAGTTGCATTTACGTCAATTTCAAATTTAGAATACTGAAGATATTTTTTTTGGGAGTTCTCCCCTTACCATAGAATTTCAACCATGGATCTTTTAACTTAATCTAAAATTTTAAATGTGATTTATGTTCATTTTACAATAATATTTGCATTAAATATGTCAGGGTTTTTGATTTCTTTTTAATTCGCACATCCGTTGAGTTTACAACTCTAACACTTTGGCGGTATGCAATAAAAATAGTAAATTATCTCGTCCAAAGCCCATTAGCAATTACCGGCCGGTAACATCTAAGGGATTCCACTTAAAATATCTGAAGACTGGCTTATAAACGGTTTCTAAGTGCTCAAATCCTTCGAGAGTATTGCATTTGTAGAAATCGTCACTTACCTTTTTAATTGGCCCGTTTGAGTGACAGTTTTACTCGTAAATAGTTTAATTTCTAATTACCTTGAAAGTAACGATGCGTTAAGTGGGAAACTAGTTAGCGCTCCCGGTTTTACTTTGTTCTATTACATTAAAAATGAGAGAGATTTTATAAACACGTTATATCTTCAACAAAAAGGTTTAAGAGAATAGACATCGTATCATAGGATAAATGAAACAAGATAAATATCATATACTTAATATAGTACAAACTTTCACCCGCGATTCCGTTCGCGTGAAATTAAAAAAAAAACGAGGCGAGTAGCCTATGTGTTCTTCCAGATTATCGTCTACAACTTTACCAAATTTCATCTAAATCCGTTCAGCCGTTTAGGCTACAAACTCAAACAAACATCCATCCATCTAAACTTTCGCATTTATAATATTAGTATGAAGTGATTTGATTATTTTTTAGTCTATATCTACGTTTAATTGGTGTTTCCAGTATATATACTAGAAACAAAATAAATTCTCAAGCATTCTCGGTGACCGTGCTCATAAATAGCGTTGATTTACACACAAGCGACATTGTACACATTTACACACACTAGAAGCTGTGTACACTATTACACGTGTGCTGGTGGGGTGTGGGTGTAATTTCATGCCTGTAATGAGAATTAATGTACGATGTAATGTCGCTTAAATTGTACGATGTAAATTCTGTCCTTGTTTAACTTCACCTCTGGTTGCTTAAGAGAATACATTACTTTGACTAAGGTAATTTTATATTCGTGTACTAGTTTACAGTTAGTGTAATCGTCTAGATTTATTACGCAAAAGTTATTAAATTTAAAATAAATAAATCGATATTACTTACGTAAGTAAATGCTAGCACTGTCAGATAAAAAGTAGGGTTAAATTCGGTCAGTGTTTCCATTTAAAAAGCAAAATGTCATTTGGAAAATTTTTGTAAATTTGATGTTTGACATATGGAAAACGCCATCTATAGGTTATTTTATAAAGCAATGTATAAAAATCACGGACAGGCATTGCTTATTGGTTATTAAGCGTAGATTTAGTTCGAGAAATCCACACTAAGCGACTATTAATCATTCTATATACAGAATATGCGGTAGTTAATCGTTAGTTTGATAAATAGATTCTGTTTCGAGTTTGATATTTGCGAATAAATCTCTTGGCAACGAATGATTTAATCAACTCGTGATGGATCTAGTTGGAACACAAGTATAGTTGCTAGTCGACTTCAAATACTGGGCGTACGAAATAAATTTTGGATGTGGCAAGTGAATTTATAGAAAAATCAGATCAACGTGTCAGTTAACAGGATAAACTATTTTACTACGTTAGACTCTTATTTCTTAGGGTTAGACGTATTAAAAAGCCAAAAAGTTCCTAATTACATATAAAAAGTAACTAATTGAGGTATAAAAATATTATAACAGTAAATTTTAATAAAGAAATAAATTAATTATAGGACAAGATTTGACAAGACCCTTAAGCTGATATTAGCAACATAGATATTAGTATTAAACTGTAGAAACATTAATGTCTTAATATTTATTTTGTTGCTCATATGCCGCATCCAAAACACAGCGTCTTCCCACCTCTATGTCAATTTCACAGGAAGTCAGCCGGCACGCGTACGGTTTCCTCGTTTACAGGATGTTTTGGCCGCACCCAGCCAAATACGAATTAAGACCGAAGCTATTATTTTCATGCTATTTTCGGCGAACTAGTTTTAGCTTACCCAGGATTTGATGATACGAGTAAGAATCATGTTTAGTATTTTGTGGTAAAAAAGAGAAGTCTTTTACTAAATATGACAATGTTTCAAAGTATGACGTTTACCAAAATATGGTAAAGAAATGTCTTTTGATTTGAAAAAGTTATATTTCGTAAAATAAATACAGTTTTTTTTTTCATCAAACTCAATTAGTAATTTTTAGTTTCTTGTAAAATGAGTAGTTACGATGAAGTAAAAAACTAGAACAATTTGTATCATACTGTATATCATGTAATAAAATGACTTATAATATTTTTATGGCATTCACAATTTAAGAGGAGCGAGGTATTTTTGGAGCGGTATTTACAGGACGCAAGACTGTTACAAAATGCTGTAAGGTTTGTTGACCTTGGGTACAATGTTGTGCTATCTTATGCACATGGAATAGTACAAGCTGTACACTGTACACGTTGTACACTGTACACATTGTACACTGTACACATTGTACACTGTACATTACACACTGCATCACTAGTAAGGAATCGAACACATTCATTAGTCACAAGCGCAGCGGATGTGAGCCAATTGTCCCATCAATACATTAGCATCCATGGGGTTGTTCATTTGTCCAATCAATACTAACAAGTAAAAATCAAACTGTCCGTCCGTTACTTTGTAATAGCGACTTGATAAATTGCTATCAAACTGTATGAAGTAAGTTTAAGACCTTGTCCTGGACTACAAAATTGGTTGGTCGAGGCGATATTTATTCGTGGGAGGTTAAAATTTTTAATTATCTTTTGGGTAATAACCCAGCACGACAGTACATGTGATAAACTTAGTACTTGTACTTGAGTGTGACCATAGATAACATCATACTAATATTATAAATGGGAAAATTTAGATGGATGGATGGATGTTTGTTAGAGTTTGTAGCGTAAACGGCTGAACAGATTTCTATGAAACTTGCCAGAGATGTAGAGGACATTCTGGAAGAACACATAGGTTACTTACTTTAGTTTGTTTTTAATTCCACGCAGATGAAGTCGCGGGCGAAAGTTAGTAAGAAATTAAAATAACTGATTCTAAATATTCAAAATCTTTTTCTTTTATAACCTTATTCTTCTACCAACTTAGACCACCTATGAGAAACATTATTTTTTCATACGAATGTTTTGCACGTAGTTTCGTTAACCGCAGGCATTAATTACCACTTAAAATCAAATTAATAATTTTATAGGTTCCGGCGCCATCGGGCTAAAGATATTCCTTTCATAAAGAGGTTAGCTTCTGAATTAAATAACTATCGGTCTTAGTTTTCTGGACTGTTAAGTAATTTTATTTTAGGCATAATTCTGAAGATCTAAATTACCCCATTACTCTCACATATAAGACACAAAATGTTTATTTGCCTTTTATTTATACTTAATTTACTTTTTGTTTGGCTTTTGTTTTTCAGTTTTTTTTATTCCAATTGTGTGTAAAATTAAAAAGTAAACATGGCGCCTCGCTTGCCAGTATCTTGTTACGTAGTACCAGGTGTCGAATGTTTCCATATTCATATGCTTAAAGCACGCGCACACCTTGGACTAAACTATCGCACAACTGTAGTCCCGCTTTGATTCTAATGAGCTTGTATGGAGGTGGGCACACTACTCGATTTTTAAGAGCGCAACTAAACAGTTGAATTGCCGGTGAAACAATCGACAATCGCACAACAGTGCGATAGTTAGTCAAAGGTGTGCGTCCGCCCTTATTGTTTACTAATTAGTCTACCATAGAACATGTTGTCTATGAAGTCGACAGGAAACTGTCTAGATGTTTTGTACTTTGTTGGACTTTATGATTTAGTAGCTGTTCCTCGCGTCTCCGTTTGCGCGGTATTAAAAAACCTTAGTAGCCTATCTGTTCTTCCAGAATATGTTCTAAATGTGTGCTTTCCGTTTAGTTGACCCAGAGATACGTAGTAAAAAATAT